ATTTTTATCGAATTTTTATTGAATTTTTATTGAATTGTCAATTTTCCATAAATTGGAAGTACATATTTGAATATTAGGCAAATTTTAGGTTGATTTGCCATTTGTCTGATTTTTTTTTTGATTTCAACTAGCATCAATCAGCCGTCAATCAAATATGATGATTTTTTTCTGGATTTTCATTAAATTGTCCGATTGGCATCAATCAGATGTGCCGATTTGTAATGTTAGTCGATTTTGGTCTGATTTTTAGCTGATTTTCCATATGTCCGATTTTTTTGATTTCGACCAGTGTAATGTTAGATTACTTATTATTAAATGTGGTTTTATTACATCAATAATAATTAATAAAATACATTTGAAAAATCTATATTAAATCTATCAAAAGTCTGAACTACTACCAAAATAAAAGAAAATGAAATGACGTTTCAATAAAAGAAATAGTTCGTTAATACACTTCTACCGACCACCTAAAAAAAGAAAAGTAACGAAATGTTAATAATCGATTCGTTAAAAAGAAATCTTTATTTTTTTAAAAAAAATATCCACCTTCAGAGATCTGATGTATAGATCGCCTAAAAAGAAAAGAAAAATAACGATTGTTTCGTCGTTAAAAAAAAATAATATAAAAATCGATATTCACCTTGAATTGTCTGGTCGCTTCCCTGGTCGATTATCTTCTTCTGTTTAACGGTCTTACGATAATATCATCCGATTCCATTTTAGTAAGATACTTTTACTCTCTCTCCATTGGTATCATAGGTCCATCTAAAAAAAGGATTAAAATAGAAGCGTTAATAAATTAATAAATGTTTCTTTAAAGAAATATTCTTATATTATAAAGTTAATTTTAAACGAATAAATTTTAAGTAAAAACTCCTACCGAGATTCCCATAAAAATTAAGAGAGACCGGTTCCTGTTGAAATTCTACGTGTATAGAGAGCTGATCATCTAAAAAAGAGAATAATAAAAAGATTAAAGAAAACGTTTTGATTAAACAATAACAAAGAATAAAAATAGCACTCCTTTATAGTGCATCAAAATATCCAAAGTATACAGTTTCAAAAATCTAATGCTGAACCCTTCAAGAAAATACGGCCTAACACACAAGTCGAAAAGTGAAAAATCAGGCACCAATCGGTCACCAATCAGGTAGCTGATTGGTGACTGATTGGTGACTGATTGGTGACTGATTGATGCCTGATTTTTCACTTTTCGACCTGTGATATTTGCGTCACCCTTAACGTAATCCATTCTGTATATATTTTAGTATTTTCATAATGAAGATGCGATTCAAGTCAAGGATATGATAATCATTTCTCAAAAGAAGTGAAACGTTAACGTTTCTTTTTTTTTAAAAAAAAAAAGTGGGTTGAAGTTATAATTTCGAAACTTAAAATTATTGATTTTTGATTCTAATACTCTGTTTTTGCTAGATGTTGCATCCCATCTTAGTCAAATTAAATATTGGATTCAAAGTAAAGTTTAAAATAGAAACATACTGTTTTGTTTTGGAATAATAACAATTGTCACCGAATTTTTATATAGACATTTTATTCACATTTGTTTTCAGTACAATAGACTTAAGTTCATTAACTGAACCGTGTTCTTGTTGTCAAAGTGGTAATGATGCGCGTGTGTGTGTCTACTCCAATCTAGACTTCACAGACAGTGAAGGCTTTTAATGGTAGTACCTTTATAGCATTATATTATATGATTTATAAATTCAAAATGATCAACATTTCCACGCTTTTAAAATTTTAGACTAAAAATAGAATGATTAACAATCCATGGAAATCCATGCTTTGGGTCAATTTGAAACAACCATTACATTTTAAAAATAAATAAAATATGAAAAACAAAATTTACTTTTTCAATTAAAGTATTGTAAGACAATGATTAAATCAACACTTTGGGTTTAATACATCAATTGATAAAATAACTCTTTTTAAAGTTTCCTGAAACTAAATCGATACTTTTTGATGATGATCAAATGTGTAATGTGTTTAGTTCATCGAGCCATGCATAAATTTCTATTATGATCACTGATTGATGATTACTTTATGTTTTATAAAAAATTGTCTTAGGCAAGCATAACAACAGGCATATAATAATATTGCTGATACAACCAATATTGCGATTATTACTAAATAACAGTAATTTTCGCAGTTTATCTTTACTTTGCTATAGTGTGTTAATGCCTCACTGAAGGGTAAAAAAGAAAAAGGAAGCAGTATGATTGATAAATTATTCATTTTATTTGAGTGCTATACGTAACTAGCAAATGTTTTTATATAACCGATTATGTCATTGCAGAAACTTCATATTTTTAAACAACGTTGATACTGCGCCAAAATCACGTGATTCGTCCGTCGTTTTGTGCGTCGTTATTGAACGTCATACAACACGTTGCAAAAGTGAGAAAATGTATCGCCACTACGCTTTTTTAATTTACCATAAAACGATTTCACTGCACCTATTTTACTACTGTAAACATATAGTCAAAACGTAGTAATTTATTTTTTACAACGTTGTAAACACACTTTATTTGCATATATATTTAATAAAGCAAACAATGTTATATATTACATATTACGCTAGCTAACTATTAAATTATTCATTATTAAGTATTGATAATATAATTCTTTATATAAAATGTATAAAAGTATCTGAAAATAAAATTATTTGATAAACATGTTTTACTATAGTAATTTGAAAAAATCCAAAAAAAATGAAACTTTTCCTTAAAACGAAATAATCCCATGAACTCCAAAAAACAATCTGTCCGCCGAGATCTAAGAAAAAAATAAAAGAAACATTAAATGTTTCTAATTAAAGAAAACAAAAAAAAGTTAAGTTTCGCGTAGAAATTTACCGTCTCCAATCTCCAGGTACCCAATCAAAGCCCTTCTATAATACAAAAAAAAAGTGGATGTTTCCAATACTAAGAAAAAGGTAAATTCCATTACGAAACTTACCATTTCAAGATTCCAATACCCTATTCTGCTATTCGAAACTTTACAGAACCTATAAGTAAAACAAGTAAAATAACTTTTCGTGATGAGGGAGCACTTTAAATTCTTGTATTCGCAGTATCAAAGTCAAATTTTCATTTTGATTCATTATATGCCAATAGTAATACAATTCCTGTCAAAAATAGTTCCCACTGAAGTCTCACATGTCAAAAGGTCTGGACATCTGAAAGAGAAGTATTGAGACATAAACCTAAAAAAAGAAAAGAACATGACTGTTTAAAAAAAGAAAAAAGAAGATGAAACGTTAGTTAAACGTTTCGTTAAATAAAAATAAAAAAATTTAATTCGAAAGAACTTAAAAGGAAAAAATCTAACCTTTGAAAATTTCACACATCCAAAGACCTGACCTGTCTAAAAACAAAGAAAAAAAATGAAACAATAGTTAACATCTTATCAAAATAAAAAAATTTAATTCAGAAGAATTTAATAAAGTAAAAAGAAATCAACCATTGGAAATTTCATGCGTCCAAAGGCCTGATCGTCTAAAAAAAGAAAGAAACAAGAAAATAAAATTTTAGTTAACCAACAGTCAACGTTTTGTCAAATAAAAAAAAAATGAAAGAAAAAAAAATTTAACTTACCACAAGAAATACAAAAGAACCGCCTAAAAAGAGAAAGAAATGAATTGTTAAGAACCATTTGTTAAAAGATGGAAGAAATAAATAAGAAACTTTACCAAAATGTCTACCAAAATAACTTGAAAGAACCATCTAAAGAAAGAAAAAAAAAGAAAAAATAAAGATGAAAAAAAAAGAAAAAAATCTTACTGGAATTCTGATATCCCTTCCTTTACCAATTTCTTCTTCATCAATTATAAATTCATCATATTTAAAATAACGAATATACTCATTCTCTAGCTTTTTTTCAATCCATTTTTTTACCGAAGTTATTTTGTCATTTAAGTTATAATATACTTGTTTTTTTTTTAAAAAAAAAATCGTTACGAACTCTTAATTTTCATTGCATAATGCAATGATTTTTGTCTAATAAAGAAAAATATCAAAATGTTGCTAAATGTTCCGCTAAGATTTTTATTAGAGAGAGTGAAACAAGAGGAAGAGAAAAAGAGAGGAAGGGAAAGGGTGAGACTGTGAGAAAGGAAAAAAGTTTGTTAAAAAAACGTGGCTGATCTGTTAAAATTGTCACGTTAATCACGTGATACATAATTTCATATAAATAAGGGAATTACCCCGAAATTTGATTTTTTTTTAAAATGCTTAACATAATTAGGGAATATAAAATAATAAAAAAAATGAATGGCATTCAGAAATATTCTAAGCAATTATTATTAAATTTTTTTCTTACATTAGCTGATACTTCGCATGACATAACAAAAAATGTCACAATTAACAATTGGAAATTTTTTGCATATCTCTAATTATTTTCCAAAAGAACAGTTTTTATCACATAATTTAAGTTTCAATCTATGCAATTAATAGTTAATACATCATGTAATAAAGTAAACACTAAAACATGTATACAAAACAGCATAAAATTTTTATTATTTTCTAATGCCACAATAAAAAATTATTCTTGATATAATGTAAGACTTTTGTTTATTAATACAAAAAATAATACATAAATCTGCTATGTGATGGTTTTATATTAATGCCCGCAGTTAAACATTATTTTTTATGTTGCATAAATATAAATATAATGACTATTCTACCTAGTGTTGGTCTCCATAAATAGTTGTAAGTCCAAAAATCAAGTAAATATAATGGTTGTAAATCAGAATTACCATCTTTTAGCTAACCACAATAGTGTAGTATTTACAGCCAATTTACAGCTTATGTTTATAATATTACAACTACTAAAGGTTGTAATTCGATATATAATAATCATTACTTACGGCAACCAACCTTAATTCTGCCACGAATTCAGCACCTCACTCGCTATATATACATCCTTCCCCTGAAAAGCAACTCCACAAATAACACATTGTTTGGTAAATTTAGGAAGATCAGAAAAGTAGCGTTTATTTTTTATTTGTTCCAATGCTTCATTAGCCTTATCCTGAAGTTTCTTCTTATTCTGTTTCTCATTTTTCAGTACCTTAAACTCCATAAACACTCCAGTCTTAAAATTCACTTTCTCTGTTGGTTCAATTTTTAAGTCAAATCGACCTGTACCAGCTTCTCTATTTGATATTAATTTATAACCACGGCAGTATGCTTGATTAAACAAGCCAATTATGAAGACATGATAATTGGTTTCCGCCATTTTATCCGTAACATCATAATAGGAAAGAGAATTCATAATAAATCTAGAGAATTGCTCCTTAAATTCTGAGAGCCTACATTGCAACAGCAAACTTAGCATTGAATCCAATTCAAATGAATTGCAATTTGTCAGCCATTCCTGCCATTCTGTAGAAACTTCCATGTTTGGAATGCATAGATTGTCATTTTTATCTTTGGTGAGATAACCCGCATAGTAGAGTAAGGTCCAAAGTACATTGTCTATATTTGATTTTTGAGCTAGCACATTATAGTCCATATCTTCCATAATCCTTACATTGATTGCACAACCCTTGAGTAACATTGATGTATTATTTTTAAAATCTTCAGTTGAGTTCCAAAGCAAATCCTTAATCGTTTTAGTACCTCCTGTTATGTCGCAGGAAACCATGTTATAAAATAATTCTAACAGAAGCTAATCAATGCAAGGCTTACCTGTGTCAATCCAATGTGCCTTCAAAGTTCCTTCATTAATAAAAGAAATTATTGACCATGGGTTGTACAAATTAAGACCATTTCCGGCCCGGTATCCATTGTACCATTGCCTGACCCCATCTAACTGATCTTCCTTACCATTATGTTGAAGGAGGATAAAGATTTCATCCTCAGTGAATCCGAAATAATTCGCAAATACTTCGTGGTGCATTGGGAACACTTGCAAATTATTAAGCCCTGATAAATATCCTGACTTAGCAACGCGAGAAACACCAACAAGGAGGGCCTTCTCCAAATTTTCATCATTGCCCTGCGTTGGCCAATCCAATCATTTGTAATCATTTGTTAGTCATCATTTGCAAGATTCTGTGAAGGCAGTCTAAGTGCTTACCTTGAGGAGTGCTCCAAACAGAGAAGCAAAAAAACCACAAGCTTCTTCGTAATATTGATGTTGATAAGCAACTTCAAGAGGGTGATCGTACTCATCAATCAGGACAATACACTTATTTCTGTGATAGTCTTTCAAGTACTTGGAGAGGTATAGAAGGGCATCTTCAGTGACACCATCCTTAAATTTACCGGAATTTATCCTATCAAAACGTGATTTATTTAGAATTTTTTGGCTGACTTGGTAATAAACATAATGATGATCGTTGTATAGAGTTGCCAACTGCTGACATAATCGGGCCCGCATACTTGACCAAGTTGAACAACTTTCGTAGCCCTGGCAAAGGGATGTAAGAAGCAGATCAACAAAACGGTTTGTAGTGTCAGTTTAGACGAGAAGCAGACAACACCATACCTTGAGAGATAGGAAGATAACTGGATACTTGCAAAAATATTTATTATAAACATCTGATCTTTCCATAATTTTTGTGTCTTTGAACAGTTCATAACGGTAATCTTTATTGTCAGGGTGGATGGGAATCGAAAAAAATTCCCTAAGCATAGTGAGGTTTATGGTTTTTCCAAATCGTCTTGGACGAACGACAAGAGAGACTATCCCCTTGCATTCAATGAACTCAGAAATAAGAAGTGTTTTGTCGATTATAGTGGAACCCCGATCCACAATCTCTTTAAAACTATCCAAGCCTACTAGAATTTTTTCGCCTGCAAAGAGAGTAGCGGTTCCATCTATGATAGTACCGAAAAAGGGATTAGTCTGATATGAAAATTTCTTGGTAAAGGTAGAGGGAAACATAATGAGGACAAATGCGCATACGCGTCATGATCTTTTGTTTTTTCGGCGAAGGCTCCCACGGTTGTTCTAGAAATAATGATCGATAAGAACGATTTTCGTAAATTATGAACTACACCAGTTCTTACTTCTTACGTTCTAATTCGGCCCCCTTTTGTACTGCTTTTAATTTGTTTTTCAAAAGTACATTTTCCTGACGTAAATCCATCCAAGGCTTCCGAGTTCTCAGGGTTCTTGAAAATGGCAAATGAAACAAATCAGATCTCGGTGACTGAAGACATTGAACTCGACGAGTAACGAAGTGAGTTGGGAAAACGGTCCTATGAAAAACCCGAGTAATTTTAGAAAAGGACATAATACAAAAAAATTTGTCAGTTATAATTTCTCCGAACCACAGTAACACCAGGACCCCGAAATATATATATAAGTCAGAGGACACAATGAAAATTTTTTACTAATAGCTGTACGCAAGGGTTTTTATTTGACACTTAACGCAAAAGTATCGGACTTGACCCTCCTCGTGGTGCTAAGTTGACCCGGTCAATTATGCATAACAAAAAATTGTATTTCTTGACCCGAAATGTGATAATCGATAATGTGATAAATCAAAAAATAAATTAATTAAACGTTTACTTGAACAAACTTTTAACAAATTTTAATTTCACAATTTTGACATTTTTGGCATGAAAGTATTTAAAATTATGCTTAGGCTTTTTATAATGAAAGGCTATATATACAATTTTTTAAGTACAGAATACAACATTTACAACGAAACGTATAATTATATACTTTTTTTTTACATTTATAACGAAAACTTTATATTCTTTTGGGCAAGAATGCAACGTTTTTGTAAATTCCACTATGTTAGGAACGCAAAATATAAAATTAAAGGCTTCGAAAAATAAGAAATAGATTTATTTCATTAAATGATGAGTAAAAGTAAGTTACAAGATTACTAAAAGTGCTTTTGAGAAAACGTGTTGTTATCAGAAAAGTTGTTATCAGGAGCTTGATTAAATGAATAAGAATAAGAATTGGATAACTCAATTTGATTATTGTAGGAAAATTGACCAAGATCATTTGGAATCGAAGGATAACTATAGGCCAATTGATCTTGAGGAATATTGAAAGAGGTATAATTACTATTAGGAATCGCATTAGTTGAAGAGAATGTAGATTGTGAATAAATTGAAGTAGGGAGCGAAGTATTGGTGTTTGTATAATAAGGAATATTATAAAGAGTAGGTTGAAGAGTTGGTTGTGAATTAAAAGATGGATTCAAATCAAATTTGATGTTATACGAAGCAGGTAAATTAACATCAGGTACGGATGGTCCCAAATTATTTTCATTATTCTTGTTATTTCCGTTATCCTTAGAATTTTCCTGCAATTAAGATATTAGTGAAACAGTAGATTGGTTTTTATAATTTAAAAAATAATGATTACCTTATATGTACGAATTTGTCTTCTAGTTCGTTTAGTTTTTCTTTGCTGAGTTGAAAAGGTTTCCTTATTTTCCTTATCTTCTTCTAAAATAGAATTACATAAAATTCGTGATGGTTTGCGCGGTTTAGCAGAAGGTTTCGGCGGAGCTCCAATAGCATTAAAATCACGCTTATTGTTTAATTCTGGACGAAAAGGATCTCTATTTAATTTCAATGGTTTATTATCTGACCAAAAGATCTTGGTGCCTATAAATTTTTTATAATAATTAATTTATATTTAAATATAAATAAAATATCATGAAAAGAAATGAATAAATATACCTTGAAGTTCAAATAATCTTAAAATTTCATTATAAGCCACATGAGTATCTCCTTCATAAATTAACTTGTTTTTATTTTCTGCAGAAATAACGCGTTCCTTATTCTTAAAATATGTCACCAATTGATTTTTAACTTCTTGCGAATAATCAAAAAGATTCTCTGCATTTAATGATTCTTTATATATTCTTGCTGCATGACAGTGCTTACACACATCCCGAAAAGACCCATTCCAAATATAATCTAGGCATATTAAACATTCTCCGCTAAAAATATTTGTTAAATAATATCCTTCTAGTTCAGGAACTACACTATAATGATTCTTTGCAAATTTTTGATAAAGTGGATACAACTTTTCAATAATATTATCATCCATTTTCACAAAACTTCCATCGTATGATGATTCTAATACATTTAATTGATTATGTTTTTTTACATAAAAATAATTGTTGTTATTTGATGATTTTACGTATCCCATCAAGAAATAGAGTCTACCCAAATTAAGTCGTCTTAACTTGTCTGAAGAAATATGTTTTGATTGGTTTTCCTTGTATGATAGTATTGATAGTGTCAAATTAAATAAATGCTAATTAATAAATTTAAAATTAATTATAATTTACTTACTTGCTCGATAGATTGAGCATCAAATAAAGTACTTAAACCAGCTTCAAAAATTGTTTCTCCAGACCTTTCAGTAATATTTTCTCTATTTAATTTTAGTCCATATAATCTTTCAACAAAATTTACAACAGTTTTAATTCCGCTATGATTTGTCTCAATTGATCGATTCATCCTCTCTGTGAAGTTATTAGTTGTCATTGGATTATCCTGTAAAGTTTGAGGAAGTCTTCCAGCATCGATAAAACCAAGTATCCACTCATCACTAATCCAATTATTATAAATATCATTTATAATTTTTTGTTTTACATTATTAGCCAAATCCAAAGAATTTATGAATTTCTTGTATTCAATAGCTAATTCTTCACATTGTTTGACACTTCTACTTCTTCCTACAATCTTGAACGCTATTGCTAATGGATAACTAAATTATTTTAAATAAAAATTATATAATTTTATTATTAAAAAAAAAAAATTAAAAAAAAAATAAAAATAACAAAATAAACAAGGAATATTCCATTGCGAAAAATTTTCTCCAATTGTTTTCATTATGTGGAACCAACAAAGTATCGATCCACGTAATAAACTTTGTATAACAATTCTCGATGGACGATGTTTGTCAATCATGGCTAGTGGATTCCATAATTGTATATTTGCACAATTACTAATCCTTTCAAACCCCTTTCCGGATGGTAAATCTTGGTAATACCATTCATGGTTACATTCACTACGACTACAGGGAATATTTTGCTTGATTGCTTGAATAGCTAATCGAATAGTCCAATTATTTTCTTTGTTGCTTAAACCTATAATAAAATATTTAAATTTTAATACTTTTTTTTGTTGATATAAAAAAAATAATGATATACAGATATACTAACCAAAAGCCAATGGTGTAGCACACCCTGTATTATTTTCAACTATCATTGTTAAGATTGGAGCATGATCATTATTTAGATCATATTTACCATCCAATCCTATGCAAAAATTTCCAAATTTTTGACCATTTTTTAACCATAAATCATTTGATAAAGTCAATTGATAATAGTGATCTGGATGATCTTCCGGTGCTAATGGATCCGGCTGCTGGTAATAAAGTACATAACCCTTTAATTTAAGAATTTCCGTAACTAAATAGTGTAAAATTGTCCAGCTTCCGGAATTTTCTTTTAGTCGTCTATCATCTCTTTTAATAAAACCCCGTAATTTAGTATCATTACAAATTTCACGTTGTTCATTTAACACATTTCGTAATGTTTCTTCATTTGCACCATTATAAGGTGCAAGTAATGTCATTTTAATTTCTTTTACTGTTTTATAATCAGATCTTCTATTTAAAATAATTTTATCCCGTATTTCTCTTGTAAGGTTCAGTTTGGAACTATTAGGAATATGAGTATTTAATGCATTTGCTGGTAAATGAGATCCAATTATTTTAATACGTAGTGGTTTGCTTGTTTTTAACCATGATAATTTAGATTCTGATATAACACGCACTTTGCAAAGATGCATATCATGACTGTTTTTAATATTATTTGGAAAATTACGATTTGCACAATTCTCTTTACAACTACCAATATTTCCGCATTCCCTCTGACAGCTATTCCCCCCAGCACAATACATAGTCCAGGACCAACATAACCTGTCCTTTCTTTTACCAGCTTCAATCTCTTTAACATACTCTTCTCCCATAGGTGTTAGATGTACAATGTCATCTATTCTATTAGTAGATTTAGTTTCTCCTTTATTGGTTCTCCATTCAATATAATCTACAGCTCCCTCAACACGATCAACAGTTATAATATTTTCTTTAAAAAGTTCTGGAGTTTTTTTTCTACTTTGGCATTTTAATTTGATATTTTTTAGTAAAGGATGTTTGGAAATGTACCATTCAGCGACACGCCCAAAGGGTACATTAACAGTTTCATCATCATTATATTTTATTAAATCATCATTCATATTTAGATAATTTCTAGGAAAAAAGAGAAAAAAATAGAGTTTCGCATTACAAAAATGATAAAAAATAAAGTTTTAATAAAAGATAAAGTTTTGCGTCACAAAAAGATAAAAAAAAAATAAAGTTTTGAGTCATAAACAAGATAAGAAATAAAGTTTAATGTAACAAAAAATAAAAAGGAAGTTTCGCGTAATAAGAAAGTTTCGCGTTAATAAAAAAGATTAAAAAATCTTGTGTTACAAAAAAAAAAGAAATTGAGCAGTCATCGGGCTGGATGTGGGTCTCGCTACCGCTCCACCCACCTCGGCCTCATGGCCTTGCAGTACCTACATGGCCCCTACGGGGCTCATATCTGTCACCATCTGTCATAAACATCTGTCATATAATAATATACTAAAAAACGATAAAATAAGGAAAAAGAGAGAAAAATAAGAGAGAATCAGAGGGGTATGACAGATATGACAGATATGACAGATGTTTCAGAAATATCGGAAGAGGATAATCCCCAGAAAAAAGTTTTGATTTTACCCCCAGATCTGTCATTCTGTCATAAATCTGTCATATGATCAGGATTCAGTCTATTTATCTGTCGGAAGCAGTGAGACAGCAAACCCAGTAAATTAACAGGTAGATTAACAGGTAAGCCCCTAGAAGGTCTATAGAGCCAGTAAGACTAACCCCGTTCAGCCCCCGTCAGAAAAAATAAGTAATTGAACAATGGGTATACCAAGACGATTCAGATGATAAAAAATAAGTTTAGAAGACAGTACTAATCCGTTTTCCTCTTTTTTGCCTCCTTAAGGTATTTATCAATACACTGTTTACACGCGTCATCGGCCTCTAAAATTTTCTGCCTGAGTTTTTTATACTGCCGATTATAAACCGTCTGATGTCTCTTAGCAGCGGTTTCTTTCTTTTTCTCCTTAGACTTCTTTTTGATTACCCAGTCTACTCCAGTAAAAGTATTCTTATGCATGCCACAAACTGTACAGTCGGGTCCGAAAGTGACGCCCGATTTTGTACGGTGTTACGATACACAAAATTTACATTATTTATACCCCTTTTTTTTATTTTTAAATGTTTTTCTCACAATTTCATAACCTAATAAACGCGTTGCAAAGTTAAAAAAATAATGTCACATAGAACTGAGTTAACTTCTCAAGATAAAGGAAAAATACTAGCATATATGGAGAATTTTAACCCTGCACAAATAGCAAGAAAAATTGGTCGTGACCCCACCACAATAAGAAGAATTATTGACAGATACAAGAAGACAGGGAAAACTGAAAATTTACCTAGATCAGGGCGTCCACTTGCTCTCAATAATAATGAGAAAAATGCACTCATAAACAAAATTACACAAGATCGACGCGAACCTTTACATGAAGTCATTAATACATTAGATTTAAATTGCAGCCTTACAACTGCTAAAAGAGCATTACATAGTGTTGGAATTTATTCCCATGTTGCTGCAAAAAAACCCTTTATCTCAGAAAAGCATGCATTAGCTCGTATTAGTTGGTGTGAAAAATATAAAGAAAAAACAGCTTATGATTGGGCACAAGTTATTTTCTCAGATGAATCAAGTGTTGAGATTGGCAAGCAGTCACGACAAATAAGAGTTTGGAGACACACAGGGGAAAGGTTTAACACTGAATGCTTGACACCTATCTTTAAAAGTGGTCGAAAATCAGTCATGGTTTGGGGATGTTTTGCAGGAAGGATAAAAGAACCATTAATTTTTTGTGATGAAAATAAAGAAGGAAATGAAAAAATCAATTCAAATACTTACATTAGAATCCTAAATTCATATCTGTATCCATTTCAGCATACAGTTCATGAGTTAACAGGAAGGGCTGCAATTTTTCAACAGGATAATGCACCCATACATACCGCGAAAATAACCAAGGATTGGTTGAAGAAGAATAAAATTGTGGTTATTGATTGGCCGGCAAATTCTCCCGATCTAAATCCAATAGAAAACATCTGGAAGCAGTTAAAGGACAATATCCAGAGTTGTAAAGTCTTTCCAAGAACTGTGGATGAACTTAAAGTTGCACTAAGTGAAGAATGGGAAAATTTGGATTGCTCCATTTTTGAAGAGGTTGTTGCTTCAATGCCACAAAGAATAAATGCAGTACTAGAAGCAAGATGAGGGCCAACACATTATTAACCATTTTTAGTAATTATTTTTTATGTGAATTTTAATGAAAATCAATAAAGTTTTGCCATTTTTGGCATTAATTTTAAATCGGGCGTCACTTTCAGACGTGACTGTACAATCACCATGTAAACGATAACGTCCATTTGTAGTCATATCTTGTATTTCACTAGCAGTCTCAGTTTCCTTTTTACACTTTAGACAGTAAAATCGTGTTATCTTGAGATTTGAAGTCTGAAATCTTTCCTTTAATTTGTCGTAATATGTCACAATTAGAGAATTACTACAAGTACTACAGTCTATCCAGAGTATCAGCACGAATTCTAAAAGGTGAAGAGCACTACAATCTATACAAAAAGCCCATAAAGGAAAAGTCAACAGAATGCCCAAAGGTAATTGTATGGAAACCAAATGCAACAAATCAGGCAGATCTTGCAGAGATGCCAGTTGACCCTAAAGGATTCCACTATTTTCTCGTAGTGGTAAAAGTTGCAAGAAAGAGAGTCGATGCAGAACCCCTAAAGGATAAGACTGCAAATAGGATTCTCAATGGATTTGTTAAAATCTACAGAAAAAATCGTATTAAGCCACCAACACATCGACTAGAGACAGACTCTGGATCAGAATTCACTAATGACCAGGTACGTGATTTTTTCCTGAACAGCTTAGGGGTAATGATGAGGTTCGGAGAGCCAGGTAGACATAAACAGCAATCATATGCTGAAAGAGCTATCCAAGCTATCCAAGCTATCCAAGAACCCCTTCTCAAACGAATGGCCGCACAGGAGTTGAAAACTGGGGTGACATCCGTGGAATGGTCAGAAGATTTCCATAATATAGTGAGTAAAGTAAATGAACTCTGGCAGAGAAATCCCCCAGATATTCTGACAGGGTCACCCAAAGTGTCAAAAAAGACAGACCTCCTCTTTGAAGGAACACGTATCAGAGTCAAGTTAGATGAACCTATTTCTGTACTTGGTAACAAACTTCACGGAAAATTTTGTACAGGAGATATAAGATGGAACCCAAACATTCGTGTAATCAAAAAAATGATACTTTCACCCGAACAGCCTCCTACATATCTCCTTAACAGACCACATGGTCGATTAGGTGTATCCAGATGTGCATATACCCGAAAGGAATTGCAAGTAGTTCCATCAGCAAGTTTTAAACAGGCGTATAAAGTGTTGAAAAACGCCATGTGTTGCTCAACGCCAAAAAACATAAGGAAATGAACCCTTTATCAATCAACGCCACCTAAAAACGTTGAAAAACGCGTAAAACAACACCAATTTAAATGTAAAACAACATACAGTAAAACAACGATAGTTTAAAAACGTGTATACAATGTATAAAAACGCGTATATTGATATTAAAAATGCGTAAAGCAATGATTTTATTGTATATTATTAATATATATATTATATAAAATATGTAAATTTATTTATGATAAAATACGTATCAATTCAAATACATTAT